GAAGATATAAAAGGCCGCAAATGCCATTCGAATACTGAATGTATAATTATTACCTATGAGCTTGACTAACCATAACTTCATTAAAGAAAAATTAATTACTAGAAAATTAATGTACCCAGTCCGCTTGTAACTCAAATAATTATGGAATATTGATTTAAAAAAATTATTCTTATGATGACCATGACTTATTTCTAGGGTCATAATTCGTTATTATTTTGTAGTTATTGTTTGCTGCAGTTATTATTATTAATTCATTTTCGTATATTTTGTATTTTTATTCATATTCGACTATTATTTTAAAATTCATAATAATTTTAGAAATAACTATAATTATTTTATTTGTACTGAAAAATTCATTTAATTTATTTTTTTGTTATTGTTTTTGTTTTGTGTTCAAAAAATTGGTCAGAAGTAACGAGTAACGAGCACATAATTGAATAATAAATGAACGGAAATCTAGAAGAATTCATAAATTAAGTTTCTATTTGTTTGGAGTTTTGTTTATGTTCACACCTTCTTTGTGCATTTGATTATTATGGAAGATAATATATGCTAATTCTTCATAGCTGTCAGCAGAGGCTACCTCTTAAGTCACGGACTAGCTCGGCATGCAAATCGCTTCAAAGAACAAGTTGTTTATTGGAACAGATAACATCGAGCGATTGTTGAATGATGTCTGTTATTTAAATTTTAAATTTATTGGTACATTATCTAAACATTAAGCATGCTAAATCGTGACGAAGGAAACTCTAAGTGATGACGGGCTCGATTATTTGCTACTGAGTTAGCTACTATCTAAAAAAAAATCAATGCTATTAGAAAGTATTTTTAAGAATATGACTTGTATATATATTGAGCTAACTGAATTGAAATAGTTATTAAAAATCAAAAAAAATATTTTAATACAAATATGTGCATATAACTGTAAGTTCAATGCTTCATTACATTTTTACAAATGTTTTGGAATTTTTATCTAAATTAATATACTCAATATTACATTGTTGAAGTTAAAGTTTTCTATGATAATTATTCAATAATACAGCATATAAGTGCAGTATTAGAGATATGTTAAACAAAAGTTGTCATAAGTGGATATTTCCAGTAACAGTGCAGTGTTGCAATTCTTTTAAACGAAAAGTTTTCCTAACCGTAAGGATAGCCAGCCCCATCTTTTCAAAGACGAGAAAGAAAACTCTCTATGGATACCTATTTATTTATAATTTTCTACAAATCATTGTTCTTAAAGTTTTAACTTTGAGAGCCAAGAGAAGAAATATGATTAGCATCGCTAAGTAATAATTCACATACATGAATAAAATCTAGATCAGTAAATTAATGTCAAACTTTCACTTTCACTTGAGTGTTCTTCGTAGCTAACCGAATCAAAACCGGAAACGTTAAAATGCATAAATGCATCTTTAAAATATATTTTAAAGAAGATCACTGATGATGGGTATTTGACAATACTCGAAACAGCTGTATGATCAAACAAAAATTCAATTAATTAAATTAATATAATGTAATACTACAGGATTGCCATGTAATACTGGATCTCCATGTAATAGTTTTAATGCAGTTTCATGACGTAGGTCATGGGTACAACAATAAAATGAGTTTTTGTTGTTGTTGTTCATTACTGTTCGAAAAAGCTCTTTAAAGATTCTATATTTAATAATTAACTATAGAGAATGTTCAAAAATTTTTCAAGAAAATCGTAGATCAAAATTTAATATGTAATATGTAAAAGCTGTATTAAAAATAATAGAACTATACACCATTTATATTCCATAGACATGCTAAGCAGTTCCATTCAAGTTCTTGAATATTCTTAGCATTATGTCAAAATTTGTTAGTATTGCTAATAAAGCACGAATCGAATTTTTCGGAAACCGGATTTCAATTATTAAAAAGGTTAGGTGAAAAGTTACTCCTTGAAAATTTTGTAGTCGATATAGCTTAGTTTTCGAGATATTGTGCATAATAGTTGCAAATTATTAATAATTATTACTGTAGTGAAAGTTAAAAATTCATACGTTATCATTGTTTCTGCTCGACATTATATATATAAACAATATAAATATTCTATAACTCTAAAAATTTATTGTTTGAAAACTAACCAAATCGATATAAAGTTAAAAAGTCGTATTTAAAGTCGTATTATGAAATTCGGTTGTTAAATCGATCGGGGGAAAAGGGAGACTACCAGACTACTACAAAATAATGAATATTAAAAAAAAAGTACCAAATATTTATCTAGAGATAAGAAATAAAGAATTAATTATCATTTTTGAATTGATGTATAATTACTGTAATTACACTTCAAAAAAAAAAGGTAATACTTTTTGAATTTATTTGGAAAGCATTAAGTGCTAGTAATTAAGTTGTTAATAGCTTATTTTCATATGAATATCGCACTAATACTAAATAAATAATTTATTTTTAATTACGATATATATACATATCTTGTCTTAGAAATTCTATACAATTACCTTGGCTTGTTTAACGTGACTAGGAAAATCTTTAGAATCAAATTAAGTCTGTCTGTTTTCCACAGAAATATTTTGGTTAAATATTTCTTTAAAATCGTTTACAAGCAAAAAAAAAATCTAAACAAATTTAAAAAATTAAAAAAATTTTTTAAAACTTGTTTCACTTTAGGTGACGTATATTTTTGTCTCTAATAAACGTAGCAATTAATGACGAAAACCATGAATAGTTTATTTTTTTTTTGAGATAAATAAATGTGTTGGTATTTATTAATTCTACATAATTTTACTGAATTCGTAGAAGAAATAATTTATTTTATTTGATGAACTATAATTACATGGTTAGCATAGTTAATTTTTACTCAGAACGCCAGGCTTACTATAGAAAACTGTGGTTATATTCAAACAGTAATCAAATGTGTATTAAATGATAACATTTGTAATAAATCTCTCTGGTTTATTGCTATTATACATTAAAAGTATTTAAATAGCAGAAAATTCTGTAATAATTACTTTGGGAAATCGAAATTTCAGAACGGAACAAACAGCCGCGAAAATTACTGCGAGAAAAGACACGGCAGTATCTCGCCAATGATGATGATGACGATGATATACTCAAGCAAATGAGAAGTAAGAACTTGAGCCAAGAGATACTGTTAGATTTGCAAAAGCTATAGACTTTTTTGTTTAATTAAGCAACCTCTCTCTAGGGTCAGCACTTTGATAACAATGTATCAGTATAATACTACTAACAGTTTTCTTGAAATTAAAAATTTTTTAAATAGGTTTCAACTCAACTTCCGTTCTGCTATTTGATCCAAAAACTCAATATAATAAATAAATTTCTCAGTTGTACAAAAGTAATTAAATAATATAAAATGACATTATAAGGCCTATAGTGTCAGTTAGCTGGGGCTAGCCGAGTACTAGAATAAATCAGTTTTATATATTCGATGTATATATCCCAAATTTTATAATGAAACCATTTATGGTATTTTATAATTTTATGATGTCTATATTGTATTTTATTTTGTTCTAGTTATAGTTATATTAAATATTGCTTTAACATAAATTTTAAGTCTTTAAAAAAATTTGTGTTACTTTTTAAAGCAATAATATATATATATATATACTAGACCAAATTGATTCATTTTATTATATGTCTGAATAAAATCATCGCTCATGATAACTAATATATAGTTATAGGACTGAATGCAATTTAATTACTGACTTAAATTAAAAATATTTTATTTGTTATAAGTTTATGAAAAATATAATAGTTAATTACGAGGAATTTAGTTTTATATGTAACGACAATACTGAGTACTGAAAACTGAAAGTATTATAGATTTATAAATTGAAAATGACAAGTTATCGATAGTTAAATGCTTTAATTACTTAGATTTTATCACAAACAACAGTTATAATATAAATCTACGATTGGAGCAGAAATCTATCAAAAGAACAAAAGATGATAATAGATAATTTTGAAGTAGTATCATTTGTTTAACAAAGGAAATTTTTCAGCGTACTTCGATCACGTTTACAAATACTAAGGTTCTACAATATACTTAAATATACAACTTTAAGAGTGTGAATCTTTTTGAAATCTCTTTATTCGAATTTTTTTTTTAAATCCTTATAGATACATTTTATATATCGTAGGTGTTTATTTTTTAGTAATACCACAGTGAAGTCGATAGTTATGGGAAATGGAACACATCGGTTACAGAGTATTTATATGAATACAGACTTCGTAAGCATGGTAAGGACACAGCTGAATCCCTGATTCAATGTCAATGTTTAAAGGGCAGCACATAATCAAAACTGTAATTTACTCCTACAATAGATCTTTTAGGTCGGGGTGTATTTATAGCCTATTATTTAATAATACTCGTTTATGGAGTGGATTAATAAGTCCACAATTTTCTAAACCATCGGTATAGAATAGAAATAAACAGGGTACCGGCTCCTAATGAAGCGAAGCACCGCGACCATAGTAGATCTTTTGTGCTTATAACCATCGGTATAACTTTTAGGAGGATTTTTGAGACAAATATATATAGCTAAAGCTTTTGAAACTTTTTTTTTTGTTTTTTTGTTGTAACTTCACTTGTCATGCACTAAAATAAATCACTTTTTAAAACTGGATGTATTTTTAATGTGGTAACAGAATGATTTCTTAAGTCGTCTTAAATGATTGGAAATTATTATTACTAATGAAATTTTTAGAACTTTTTAATGTGTGAATCAAGCACTAATTTAGCAAGAATTTGAAATCAAAGTCTTTTACATTATTTTTATTTCACTAATAATTATATATTATTTTTTTTTAAATTATATTCAAACCCATGTTATATTAATTCTGACTACGCTCATGACTGCGACCGTTCTTGGTTCAATAAATACTCATTAATAATTGGACTATTGTTGACAATGACATCGAATTGCTACAATTGTGTTCTTTTTTTCAATTTTTTTCTATTTTTTCTATTTTTTTGTTTTTGTAATTACCTTGGCACAGTGACAAACATTTTATTATTCCAACGCTCCAAGCCTAATGGTAAATTATTCTCGGGTACATAACGACCTGTTTTGATGGCTTCTTGCTCAGCTTCGTTGCTTGGCCAATCAAACACTAATTGCTTCCAATGAAATTTTTCCTCTAATTTGGCTTCGACGATACTTGGTCCAGATATGGACAAGTTCAGCATTAGGCCGAACAACAGAACAGCTAACATAACACAGCACTTCATTATATTATTGAGGAAGAGAAAAGCTTATATATTTTTTAATTTTACGAATTTCACCAATTTTTATTTAAATATCGTTTTTATTTATTTAAAATATATTTTCACTTTATTTTAAACTCGATTCAATAAAATTTCTAACAAAAAAATCGACCGCGTTGTTGACGTTACGCGTGCTCGCTTCTGACTGCGTTTGCTTGAAGCTTGGCTTTTGCTTTTAATCTACCGGTTTTCTTGGTAAAAATTACCTTTGCATCTGGAAAAAAAGATTAAAAATACAAAAGCAACAAAACGTACAACATTGGTAAAAATAACAAATAATAAATAAACTTTTATATTGGACGATAATAAAACAATACAATTCCACAGTGGCACTTTTGAACCATTCAGAAGATAAAAATAAAATATTTTTTAAATAATAATTTCATATAATAATGTATATAGGTTAAGAATTATTCCCTACCATTCATAGCAGAAAATGAGAAGCAATGGTTTAATCACTATACCAAATATATGTCACCTATAAAAAGAGTAGGTTAGGTTAAGGTTAGGTTAAGAAGGTGCGTGCTGACAGTTACCAGCACTTCCACTTTCACTCGGTGGAATATAGTTTCCATTGTGGAGTCCTCAAAGATTTTGCCGGGAGGGGCGTTTTGCTAACCTTTGTTATCTTCATGTACTATTCTCGTTAAGCCATTTAGTTTTCCAGATGAAGTTAAGTCCAAAACTTCTGTAAAAATAGTAAGAGTTGTTACTATTAAATTGCACTGAACTGATTTAATTTGAAATGTTATGAAAGATAAATATATCAAATAATTTATGATATATATAAATAGATATAATATAACAATATATATATGACACAGACAAATTATTACCTGTTAACGAAAAACATATTCAGTGACCTGAAATATTCAGTACACTGAAACTTCCTTCTATGTGGTCTTTTCATCTGTGATTTTTAATATCAGAATAATCTCTCTTTAAGTGGTTTGCCTGATTTTTATGCTATCCGTTTTACGTATTTTTTAAAAATATTCTATAAACAAAAACATATTTATATATATATACAACACAGTGCCTAATAGTTATTGCATTATAAAATGCTCAAACATTGCATTGTGTTAGAAAGAATTAACGTGATTAAGATTTTAAGTGACAAACACTTATTTGTTCGATTATACATTTGATATCAATATAAAGATAGTACATTCCGATTTTCCGGGTACGCCTAATAAACAACAGTTTATACTAGAGTTAACTATTTTCAGTTAACTGATAATAACAAGTACACATGCCATATGGCCGATATCTTAAAAACGAAGCTTTAATAATATACCTATAACGTAGTGGAAAAAATTGTACAGAGAGCTGACTTTAATAAGTCAGAGAGCTTTGCACGTGAAATCGAAAATAAGAAAACATAACTTACTAGCAAGATCTTCACAAAACTTGCGCGGAAATTAAAATAAATCCAACATAGTCTATAAGCAGCATCTTTACGAAATTTTATCTAATTAAGTAGAGAAATATAATATTTTAATATAATGTTAGTTGGTGAAGAGGCGCTGACTCTGAGCTTCAAATTTGGAAGAGCACGAGTTCAATTCCAAGAATTATTTTCAAGACTACTGATGATGGGTATTTAGCAATACTCGAATTAGCTGTGCGGCCAGCCAAAAATTCAAGATTTTAGATTATAAATAAAAATAGATTATAAAAATATAATTTTTGTCATTATATAGGCTGAAGTAATAAAGAAACATTATCATTTATTGTTAATATTAATTCTAAAGCTAAAGTTTTTCTGGAAATTAATTCAATTAATTAATAATTAATTAATAATTGATTAATTATTATTAATCAATTAATATATAAATATATTTAATATTAAATACAATCCATGATGATTGCTTAATAAGATAAATTTTATTTTCAATTTCTTAACAATTATAAAATAGAGGATGACGTATTAAAACAAAACTACTTATATTAAACACTCAACTAAATGTAAAGAACTTAGGAGACCTATATTTCGCGATTGTTGAACTAGAAAAAGTAATTAACATAGATGCCAAAAAGTTTTAGTTTGTTTGTGTCTAAAACTATCTAATTTTTAAACAGTTTTTAAAATAGTTTCAAAGCATATATTATAAAATAAGCTGATTTCTTTTTCTTTAATAACTTCAATTCAATAATGTCTTTGGTGTCGTGTAAAAAGCCAAAGAAAATTTAGAATTGATTTCTCACTTACGCTTCTAATTGACATATATGAGAGAAAGCTGTTTAACGCAAATTTTATTATTTTTTTTAGATATATATATTGTATAATATGGTCACGTCTATTATCTTTGGTTACCTCTATTATGTTATTTTAACATAATTACTTATTTAGTTATAGATTGAGCTTTCTAAAGTTACACATATTAACGGTAACGGAAAAAGTTGTAATAAATTAAAACTCTGTTCCAACTTGGTTATAATATATGGTATATCAAATATACAATTTTACATATGTAACATATATCATGTAGTTCAAATCTGTTTGACTTTTGTGAACAGACTTTTAACAAGCGTCTTACTCCACAACTTTCTTACTCCACAAGCCTCTTACTCCACAACTTTGTTAGTCCACAATTTTCTTACTCCACAAGCTTCTTACTCCATAACTTTTTTAGTCCACAACTTTCTTATTCCACAAGCTTTTTACTCCACAACTTTCTTAGTCCACAATTTTTTTGACTTCACAAGTTATTTACTTCGCAAGTTTCTTACTCCATAGTAAGAGAGCTATCAATGAATATCCATCAACAAGTTAATTTAACATTGGGTCCAATGTACGAGGTAACAGAACTTTATAGTTGATTATTAATAATATATTTTTTAACAGATTTGATTTTATATTGTTTTAAACTGGATGAGTGGTGGCTTCAAATTCCAATTGATTCCTAAGTACAGGTATCTTCCAACATAGTAGATTTCGATTGTAGGCTATGTGAAGTTCATAATCCATGAGCCTCACATAATAATTGATAACAATTTAATTAATTAGTTATTTCTTATTTATTTGTATTTTATAGATTTTTCTTCCTTATTTTTAAAACATGATTTGTCTTAACTATATCTATATATTTTCGGAGAAGTCACGCTCTGTGGAGAAGTCTGGCATACAAGTCGTCTGTTTGTAAAATTAAAACCATTTCCAAAGTGGCAGAATCTGGCTTATCAAACAAATTGATTTTTTATAAACAATTAATAAATTGCTATTACAAACTATTATTAGCTAATAATAGCTGCAATTATTTTTTCTCACTCGGATTGCTTAAAAGTGCCACTGTCGAATTGTTAGTAAGCCAGAATTGTTGCGGAAACATTTTTGGTGCTGACAACAAGTTGCTCTGTATTTAGAACATTGTTTCGTTGTTTTTCTTTGTTCGTTTTATGACGTAGTGTTTTATTTGAAATGTTGAAAGGTGAGCAAAACGTTCATAAGTTTATTTCAAATTTAATTATTTATTTTATGTGTTTAAAAGTTTTCAAATCGATTTCAGTGTTGTACTGTAAAATTAAAATTTAGTTTAACTGCATTTGCTTATGGCAGAGAATGAAAGTGAAGTGAATTGGATGTCAATGACCTTTAGATATTACAAAATTACTTTTTATGCATAAAATTTCCTTAATTTAATTCAGAATGCATTTTTTGGTATGCCAAGATATGTCCATTTCATTAAAAATTTCTTTTAATCTTTTACTAACCTTTGATACAGGTCTGAGTTATTACTGGATTATATAATTCAATGTGTTTCTGCAAAAAAAAAACAATACAATTCACCTCGCTTTCGATCGTATTGATCATCATATAAAATATCTCTAGATATTGAAAAATGATAGATGACTAAATTGTAAGTTAATAGTCGAAGTTCTTACTCAATTGCGACTATCTAATATAGTTCTTACTATGCTAATTTACAGTCCTTACTAAATATTTAAGATAATACTGCGTAAAAGAACTTACGTACAAAATGGACCACAGTATTCTATACTTTCTAAAGATTAGAAAATCATTTTTGTTTGGATGCCAAATATATATTGTATATGACTTACCTCAGCTTATGTTATTTAAGTCTGAAATTTTGTCAAACACAAAGCTACTATAGTATTATATTGTCAATTGCTTAAGAATTAGAACTTTACTTTTCAAAAATTACATTGAACAAACAAAGAATAACCTAAGAATTATTACGGGATTACTAACCGGTCACTGTGGATTGAAGAATCACCTAACAAAGTTAGGAATCCAATCCAACTTAGACTGCAAATACTGTAGAGAAGAGAGAGAAACCGCTTACTATGTGCTCTAGGGGAATGCCTGGCACTGATGTACAAGCATCACTCTAATCCGACTAAGAGATACAATAGATCTTTTACGTCGCAGTGCACTATGCCTTTTTCATAATAATAATATGCTTTCATATTATATGTTTATTGAAAAAATTGCATTTTTATTTTAATGAGACCGTAACAGCGTGAGACCAAAGCTTATGTATTAAAACCACCTTTCAGAATTGCAAAAAATACTGGAGCATGTATATACCAATACCGATATCTTATTCCAAGGGGGTGAGAACTATATAAATTCATATAGATTTAAATAAAGCTATGAATGATAATAAAAAGAAAGTTTGTTTGAGGTAATCAATTAATCTAGATATCAATTTTCCAATTAATAGACCGTGTCCCCGATGGAGTCAAGAAGTTGAGGGAGCACTAACAGGACTTGCTGCGCGAACGCAGCAGAGGCGCCTGGAGATACATGCTGCGTCAGATCGAAACTAGGTAACGGGTTGTTATGGCAAATAAGTAAGTAAGTATATGTATTTTCAGTATATGGAAATGTGCACAATCTATTTTATATCTTTACTTAAGATATATGAAGACATGAGTGATAGAAGAGAAATTGCTTAGTAAAATCCGTTTGTATATAATAATGTATTTATATAAAAAATATATGATTGAAAATTGCCAAAAAAGTAGAATAATCATTAAACTTTCGAATTAAAGAATATCTAATAGACTAAAAACAAGTCTACAAAGTAAATTATACGAAGTAACCATATATCGGTTAGTTATTTGATTTAGTGTATATTCGCTACATATACACAAAATTAACCCACCACACGTCCAATATAAAGAATACC